AAGGAACTGTTAGATGTTTATAATGAAAGCGAATCATATGTGAAAGAATGTGGTTCTGATTGTATTAAAGAAAATACAGGACAGATAAGCGATAAGTTTAGAAAATTTTTTGACGATTACGTTTTAGTAAGATATGATCTTTCTAAATAGAAGTACAAAGAAAGGTGGCGGAGTGAAGTTTAGGGTTACCTTTTTGACGCAGTTATGGTTAGTAAGTTATATATATATCAAGAATGTAATTTATGCAGCATGTAGATCATATATTGAATTAACTCCGCTTTAGCCGACCTCCAAAGGCAGGCAAAGACTTAAAATTATTAAATAAATTCTAGTGGCCTTCTTTAACGTCATTTTAAATTTTGTCAATTATACATAATAAAATTTTCAACACGAAATAGGAACAAAAATTTTTTTATGATTAAACTTTTCAAAATTTTGTAAAATAATAATTTTAAGACATGTTTTTTATATTAACGAAATAAGATCCAAATAGATCTGAAAGTCCACAAACTTACCTTAGATTGATTCTGGTGACATTAGTATGTAACACTTAAGCTATAAGATAAATTTTTGATCTTTTTAGAACGAAACAACTACTGAAAAATTGAATAAAAGTCTCTGAATTCACGCGAGCAACTTAAAATGTGAAAAATAGATTATTTAAATTAGGGATAGTCTAAAGCTTAGTGGTTTTTAAATTGATTACTAATCGATTTGTAAATTAAGTCATGTGGCACATACAAAATACTACAGGCATTAGACGATTTCCTAAAGGACCAATCAGTTTTACAAAGGAATAACGTGGAATTAATCTTTGATTTTAGCCAATCAGAATTTTTGTAGATTAACCAATAAAATCAAACTTGCTCTATGCTTTCTTGCCGTAAGGTCATAGGAGGACTTTCGTCTGATTAGCTCTTTAGAATGCTTTTGGAGAACATAACGTTTCACTAACAAAAATTGCCCCAAAGCGATTCATAGTTTTAAATAAACATTAGTGATCATTCTTCAAAATACTCACCGACTTAGAAGACAAAATATATGACCGTTTATTGAACTGTGAGAAATTATACTGTAAAGGTAACTAGAAATTTTTTCGTCTAAGATTAATTTACTATATTAAATTTAAATAAGCATTTATGGCAACTGTTTAATTTGAACAGATATAAACTCTTTAGTAGCAAAAGATCCGGTTTAATCTTAAGTTTATTGGTTCTTATAGTGTGATTTTGTCAACCGTAAATTATGTGTTGGTGTATATCTTGTAGATTCTTTAATGAGCTCGGGTTAATTAGTAATAAATATCGCATTTATCCATTTTACGCGTATTGTTACGGAAAATTTCTTCGAAATTTTCCTT